GTGCCATACTGGTGCCATACTGGGAGTTATACTGGTGCCATACTGGTGCCATACTGGTGCCATACTGGGAGTTATACTGGTGCCATACTGGTGCCGTACTGGTGCCATACTGGGAGTTGTACTGGTGCCATACTGGTGCTATGCTGGTGCCATACTGGTGCTATCCTGGGAGTTATACTGGTGCCATACTGGTGCCGTACTGGTGCCATACTGGTGCTATACTGGTGCCATACTGGTGCCATCCTGGTGCCATACTGGTGCTATACTGGTGCCATACTGGTGCCATACTGGTGCCGTACTGGGAGCTGTACTGGGAGTTGTACTGGTGCCATACTGGTGCCACACTGGTGCTATACTGGGAGTTGTACTGGTTCCATACTGGGAGCTATACTGGTGCCGTACTGGTGCCATACTGGGAGTTATACTGGTGCCATACTGGTGCCGTACTGGTGCCATACTGGTTCTGTACTGGTTCTGTACTGGGAGCTGGAACTGCCCTTGGTGCTCGTCCTGTCCCAGTCCATCCCAGTTCATCCCAGTCCCATTCCAGTCTGTCCCAGTTCATCCCAGTCCCTCCCAGTCCCATTCCAGTCTGTCCCAGTCCCTCCCAGTCCATTCCAGTTTATCTGAATTCCCTCCCAGTCCCTCCCAGTCCATCCCAGTTCATCCCAGTTTATCTGAATTTCCTCCCAGTCCCTCCCAGTCCCTCCCAGTCCCTCCCAGTCCATCCCAGTTCATCCCAGTTTATCTGAATTTCCTCCCAGTCCCTCCCAGTCTGTCCCAGTCCCTCCCAGTCCATCCCAGTTCATCCCAGTTTATCTGAATTCCCTCCCAGTCCCTCCCAGTCTGTCCCAGTCCATCCCAGTTCATCTGAATTCTGTCCCAGTCTCTCCCAGTTTATCCCAGTTCCTCCCAGTCCCATTCCAGTCCCCTCCCAGTCTGTCCCAGTTCATCCCAGTCCATCCCAGTTTATCCCAGTTCCCTCCCAGTCCACTCCAGTCCATCCATGCCCCCTCCCCAATTAATTCCCCTCCCCAATTCCCGGCGCCCCCTCCCCAATTCCATCCCGGCGCCCCCTCCCCAATTCCTCCGCGCCTCTCCCGCTGTCCCCAGGATTTCCCCGCGCCCCCTCCCCAATTCCTGGCGCCCCCTCCCCAATTCCCCGCGCCCCCTCCCCAATTCCCCGCGCCCCCTCCCCAATTCCTCCGCGCCTCTCCGCTGTCCCTCCCCGGCCGCCGTCCCCGCCGCTCCGCCGGGTCCTAGAGCCGCTCCCGGTGCCGGTCCCGCCCGTCCGGCCCGGCCGCCAGCCCCGGGCCCTGCCGGGCCCCCTCCCCATCGCGGGGGGCGATGCGGCCGCGCCCCCTCCCCACGCAGCCCCCGCCATGTCCCGCCGCGCCCCCTCCCCCCGCGCCGCGCCCCCTCCCCCCGCGCCCCCGCTCTCCTCCAGCTGGCCCCTGCTGGGACCCCCCCGCCGCAGCGTCTGGTACATCTACAGGTACGGGGACCCCCGGGACCCCCGGGACCGCCCCGGGACCCCCCCGGCACCGGGACCCCCCCCCGGGCCGGGACCACCCCCCAAATCCATCCATCGTGTCC